ACAACTAAAACGCGTCCATGACCACTCTCAGGGTCTCAGGCTTCTCTCTGATATTAGTATGTGAAATTAGATAACCATTTCATTTCTCGACACTGTCGATAAAATCGCGTACTGGTGCATGTCCGTACTTTAACAATTCATGGTCGAGAGTATGCTTAATATATAATTAAACATCTAATTAACCACAAAAACGTGCACATTACCTATGCGAATAAGGTACAGCTAAAACGCGTCCATGATCACTCTCAGGCTTCTCTCTGCTAATATTAAACTCGAGGCGTTAGTGTACAAGAGGTTTCAATAGTCCCATGAAAAAGTCTGGGATAGCCGTTCTGAGGTTTCTCTCTAGTAATATTATGTTAGCTATTTATGTTCTTAAAATTTAATATTTTTCAAAGTTTGTTCACATTTAGATTGATGTAGAAAAAATTTTTCTTTTATTGACAGTTAATATAATAAGTAAGAATTTATCGGTAGAGTAGATATCAAAAAATATAATTGTACACCAATAAATGGCATCAGGCGATAGCTATATGAATTTAATAAATGATAAAACAATTGAAAATATTAATAGAAATAGAAAAGCGAATATTGAGAAAAAATATAACGCGAAACTGAATCTTATGTATTTATATATTGTATATAAATAAATTTTATATATTATTAAGTTATTAGCTATGAGACAGAAACAGAGAGAGAAAGAGAAAAAAAAAGTAAAAGAGAATATATGCATTAGTTAATCAAAAATAAATGTATGTGGACAATATAATATTAACTAAAAGTATCAATTGTAATAAATGGAATATTAGAAATTTATAAAAAATAAGATTGGAAAATATTGCGATTTAAAAAATTGAGAAGATCAATATTAAAACATTCTATAGAGTTCAATGATTCGTAATTTTTGTTTTCACTGTATTTAATTTTACTGCCATATTTGTTCTTAAACATTTGCCCTGTTTTTATGTCCAGAGAACAGGAGGAAATGTGTTAGTGGAAATTTTCATGGGAATATTCCGCATCGCGATCGAGTTTAAAAATGTTACGACGCACTCGTCGCTAGAACGCATTCGTTACCAATTAAAGCGCATAAAATGTTAAAACCCAAGTATGATATTATCGTTACGGTGCATTAAGGTATATTTACGTTGTGGATGTTAATGACATCTCAAGTATCGGAGTAACAGTCATTCGAAAGATTGGAGGGAATATCAGTTAACTTTTCTACCGTACATTTTTACAGCGCGATACCATTCTTATCTTGTCTGTTACTTTGTTATTGCGTTATCTTCTATAGTAAGCATCCGAATGACAGAAGAGTTAAAACAGTCCATGATTAGGTCCTTCCAGGACCAGACCCGAAGGGATCTGATTCGAAGTTTTTAATTGTGTTTGTCATAAGGAAATATTTGTGCAGCAATAATCGCGATCAAATATTCATCGAGTCTTCGATACCAAGGTTCGCCTTCGTCCTCTCATCGGCAAGATCGTCATGAGGAAATAGAGAAAACACATCGTTTCCCCATCGAACAAAATTCATAATTCATGACTCGTTACGTCTATCTACTCGGAGGGTGACTCGAGACAGCATCGGGCCCTTATGCATATTGATACTTTCGCGAGAGCGTTAACTCTTTCCCCCTTGAACACTTAGACGTTGTACTCGCCGTTTGCCGCACGAGATGTTTGCGCATAATTCCACTCATCGTGTTTAGATATCCCGATGTTCATTCGCGTGCCCCCGAGAAATGTTTGCGCAAGCCCCCGATGATGTCCCTCTCCCTCCTCGCCGAGACGATAAGTTAACCGATAAATACTTCGCTTCGTGTTATCTTACTCCGGCGCATTTTCTTCCTCTTTCCTTGTTCAACAATATTTCAGCAGTAACGGAGCAGGAACTGATTCTGCCACCCATACATTCAAAGATGCCGAATGCAAAATGCGAAATTCGTCAGCGTCATCTTAGTCCGGACGATCGCACGACGATTTTCTCGGCAGTTTTTATTTACCGAGTAACTCGCATGCGCGAACAGCGAAACTGTAACGGGCACAATGAAAGAAATAAGGAACATAAAAAAATGGAACATAAAAAAGAAAGAGACATATCAATTAGAAATAGAGAATTACATTTCTCAACATATAGGAAAGCATGCGTCAATACACAATCAAAGAATAGCAAGATGTTCTTTTATTGATAGAAAATAATTTTCTGTTCCTATTTCTTTGCTATATTTAATTGCTTATTCTTTATTCTCGTTTATTCGTGTCTAGATTCTAAAGAATCAACGTAATACACAAGTAAGTATAAGATGTAGTCATATTTTATACTTATTTGTATACATTGTGCGTGTTTCGGAATCGGATAATGTGTCGTGCGATTGTGAGATAATTGATGAGATCCTGTGCACAATGGAGGAAATATTAGGAACGCAAGAATAAATATTAAATTTTAAATCTAGAAAAAAAAAATGTTAAACGTAAGGCATAATGTAGGCACAAAATAGATATAAGATATAATTATATTCCGAAATTTATTTCGAATTTTTATTTCTAATATTATTAATATTTATTCCTGTATCTCTAATATTTCCTCCATTGTGCACAGAACCTCTTACAATCGCCTGACACACGACCCAGCACTTCGAAGCACCTCGAAGACACGCGCTTATGCGGTTGTACAACACGAGATGCGCACCCGACGGCGGCGTGGAAATTCGCCTGTGCGTCATCGTTCTCGATGCGATTCACACAACCCGACGTCCGCACGCCTGAATGACCAACATCGCCCGATCCTAGACGACATGAAGGTCTAAAAGACGTCTTAAATATTAAATTTTAGAAATGAAAGAATTATCTTTATGACTACCAAAAAACGTCTTTCAGATATCTTTCAGACTTTTTGACATTTTGAAAATTGCTTCTATAAGACATTTTTTTGGAGCTTGTACAGCTATTTACATCGACTATAATATTTATCGAGAAGCGACAATATATTTATCAGTTGAAATACATGATTAATCTCGATATAACGTAATCTCTATAAAATATTGGCATTCATGTTAATCTGGCACTCCAATATTTATTTTGATATTATTTATTAGAATGCTACAGCGATACTATTAAGGTGAAGCTGTCCGGAAATGCGTTGGCAAGAGGAAGAATACGAGACAGAAGTACTTGATAAATCGATGTATCAATGATTTTAATACTTACTACTTTTCTAACAATAAAGCTATCTCTAACTGATCATAACAGATATCTGTTATAATCAGTTTTGTTGTTTTGTAGTAAAACCGTTGCTGTACGGATTTATTAGATAATTCTAGCATCTCTCATATTCTTTCTCTTGTCAACGCGTTTCCGTCATTAATTTTTGCTGTATAGTAATAGTTATTATCCGCTTCTTTCTTTTAAAATACGAAAAAGATGCCAATATGT